ATAATTATACTACTTGAAAATGTCTTAATGTTCAGCTTCTTCATGAGCACTTAGGTTCTTGGACATCTGGATCTTAAAATATCCTCTGTATGATACAAGGTACCAAGCAGTGTTTATAACCTGGGCAGCCACTGAGTTGCCAGTAGTTTTTAGGAGAGAATAGTCAAAACAGTTTATCTTATACTTAAAATACTAGCTGCTTATGAAATTCTTATGTAAAGATGTTTAAATAGAAGCCCTCTATGTATTTCATAAAATGTTTTATGTGATGCAATAAATAATAAATACAGAAAGAGAAAGTGATTCATTTCCTGGGCAGAAGTCAGTCATTTGCAGACAGAGTGCCTGCCCTGTAACAGGTGCTAGGTGGAGAGACGGGAACAAGAGCTTGTCCTCATTCCTGAGGATTCTCTGGGCTAGTGGAGGGGAGAGGCACGTAAAGAAGCGATTCAGGTGGGTTAGCCTTGGAAGTGTCACGGAAGAGCTGGGAGGGTGGAGTAAATGACTGACTGTTTAGGACTGCCTCACATCCTTTTTGAAAGAACAAAGGTGGGTGGGGAAAGTATTCAGAACACAGTGCATCCTCCCCTGGGGGAATCTGGAGAAGCCTTTGAGGGATGATGAAGAGCCGAATCTTCAAGGATGTGCAGAAGTTGGCCAGATGCAAAACATCCAGAAAGATGTCCCAGAGAGAGAGAGAACTATCTTGGCAAGAGCTAGAGCAGTGATAGGCCTGGCAGGCGAAGGGTGTGCTGTGAGCAGCCCGGCTGAAGGGGAAGGCCAAGCCAGGTGACCCAAGGACCTGGGAGACCTGGGGACGGCCAGCAAGCTGACTTGTATTGAGCATCTTCAGTATTGTTTTGCCAGTAAGAAAACTAGGCTCAGAATTACACTAGCTTGCCCAGATTGTACAGGAAGTGATGGGCCCAGGATTAGGCCTCAAGTCCGTCTGGCTTCAGATCCTTTGCTCTTTTTCTTGCATCATGCTGCTGATGAGTATGGACTTCACTCTCTTGGTTGCTGGTCTTTAGGCCTTTTTTTAGTGGTAAAGGCCTTTTGGCAAATAAAATCTTAAGCCCAAACTCTAATATATAAGAACAGATCAGGTTATATTTCATTAGCTTAAATTTCTTTCATATTTAAAATGCGTAACTTACGAGATCAATTCATGAAAGCAGTGGTTTTCTTTTTAATAAGCTCTTTCTTTTTGGAATCATTTTAAACTTAACAGAAAAGTTGCAAAGACAGTACAAAGAGGTCCCACATACCCTACACCCAGTTCCCTCAGTGTTAACATCTTACAGTACCCTAGGACATTTGTCCTAACCGAGAAGCTGATATTAGAACATTGCTCTTAACTACAATCCATACCTTATTTGGATTTCACCTGCTTTTCCACTGATGTCTTCTTTCAGGGTCCAGTCCAGGATTGTATTCAGTTGCATTGACTTTCTTTTGCCAAACACTAAAACAGGAAGCCAGGAATTGCATTACATTCTCCTACACTCAACTTTGTGATTCACAATGAGATAGTTCCTCGAACACTTTGAAGAAACTCTAGCTATATGTAAAGAGGTATGAAGTCCTGGACTACAAGCATGCAGGGTGAGTAGCCTACTACTAAAATACAATACAGCCCAGAGAAGAATCCAAGAATGCACACCCCACAAATTTGATTTAGTCTCTTAGCTTGGGCTGTCAGACAGTATGCTGGAGACTGGGCAGCCTAAACAACAGACATTTCTTTTTTCACAGTTCTAGAGGATAGAGGTCCCAGATGAAGGTCCCAGCCAGTTCAGTTCCCAGTGAGGACTCTCTTCCTGGTGGTAGATGGCGGAGTCCTCACTGTGTCTGCAAAGGGCAGGGAGAGGGGAGTTACCTCTCTCTGTCGGATCAGCACCCCACCCTTATGACTTCATTTAGCCTTAATTTACCTCCTAAAGACCCTAACTCCAATGCAGTGACATTGAGGGTTAGGGCTCCCCCAAAGGAATTGGGGGGGAGGGGAGACAATTCAGTCCATAGCACAATCCAAAGGTGAAATGATAGGAAATATTTACAATTCAGTCACGAGACAGTATGCACCATACGTTTACTCAGGTGACGATGTATTATTTGGTAAAACACTTGATACTTGCAAGACAATGTTAAATACAGAGATCATATTTTAACACTCATTAAATAAGTTGAAGAAAATGTAGTGTCATCTGAACAGATGGTGCAAAAGCAATGGTAAGAAAAAAATTTCAAAAGTGATTATGTTATAAAAGCTGTTAGCAAAAGTTTTCAGATGGTCATTGAATTTTACATAAGTGCTAAAAAGAAATCTCGCATCCTTCAGAATAATGCCAAGTAATGCCATACAGTTATTAATTATTTGTTACTGGTGTGGGCTGTGAGTTCTAGAATTTACTTTTCCATATGAAATGTTACTTACTGTATTGAAACAGGGTACAGGTACCTTCACACAGAGTAAGAAACCACTAGGACTTATTTTGCTTTTGCTGATAAATAAACTTAACTGGATAACTTTACCTCAGCTAGTATAGAGTTATCTCTCTTGCCTACTACCTCTCAGTTACTTAAGGCAGGGTTAAGTGTTAGCTGAGTTACCTATACTTGATGCTGCGAATCGAGGAGTCCACAGCCAGTGTGTTGAATAAAGGGCTATTACTGTGGCTGTTTTTAGTTTGGGAGCAGGGTGAATGATAATGCTGTTAATCAAGAAAAGTGTGGAAGAAGGAATAGATTTAAAGGGAGAAGTGAGTCTGAGGTGTCTTCAGGACACCCAGGGAGAGATACGGTCTTCATCTTGGGAACTTTAGAGAAAACAGGTAGCATTCTGGGATAGCTTTGAAGTCATCATTTGAAAGTAAGTTGAAGAGACGTGTTCTTTTTAGTGAAAGAAGGTATACCAGTGGATCAGTTTATTATAGACTAGAAAGATCAATAAAGGGAAGAAATAATTTAGGGTTAAAGAACTGCAATATGAGTGACTAGTTGGCCACAGTGTTCCTCTAGGAAACATGTGATATTTTATTGGAGTATCCTGTTAATGTTCCAACAAGCAATTTGGTCAGTTGTGATATTTTCAATCACGGAAGTGCTGATTCTGCAATTTTACTGTAATAAAACCCCATCATGAGTTTACACTCAGCACTTGGGTTCTTTTATCTATCCCAACTTTATTGGCAAATCATTGACAAATACAGTTGTATGTATCGCAGGTGTACAATGTCATGATTTGAGACACATGTACATTGTGAAATGATTGCCAACATGAAGATAGTGAACACATCCATCACCTCACACAGTTAGCTCTTTTGTGTGTGCGTAGTGAAATGCTTAAGATTTACTGTCAGCAAATTTCAGGTGTACAACACCCTATTATTAACTGTAGTCGCTATGCTGTACCTTAGATCCTCAGGACTGATTCATCTTATAACTGAAAGTATGTGCCATTTGACCTACATCTCCCCATTTTTCCTCCCCCTGGCCACTGCCATGTAAGTGATACTATACAGTATTTGAGTTCCTCTGTTTGGCTTATTTCCCTTGGTAGGATGCCCTCCCAGGTTCATCTGTGTTGTCACAAATGGCAGGATGTCCTTCTTCTTTATGGATAATAGTATTCCATAGTATATGTGTATATACACATTTTCTTTATCCATTCATCTGTCAACAGATGTGTAGGTTGTTTCCATGTCTTGCTACGGTGAGTAATGCTGCAGTGAGCATGAGAGCACAGATATTCCTTCAAAGTACTGATTCCCTTTCCTTGGGGTATATACCCAGAAGCAGAATTGCTGGATCAAATGGTAATTCTATGTTTAATTTTTTGAGGGACCTCTCTACTATTTTCCATTATGGCTACACCAATTTACAGTCCCCCCAACATTGTACAAGTGTTTTCTCTCTTCTTCACATCCTCACCAACATTTTTTATTTCTTGTCTTTTTGGTAATAACCATTCTAACAGATCTGAGTTGATTTAGAAACTAAGAAAGCAATCCCACTTATACTAGCACCAAAAACAATAAAATACTTAGGAATACATTTAACCAAGGGGTGAAAGACCTGTACACTGAAAACTATAAGACATCGATGAAAGAAATTGACAAAGGCACAAATAAGTGTAAAGATAGACACCCTGTGTTCTTGGATTGCAAGAATTAGTATTGTTAAAATGCCCATACTACCCAAAGTTATCTACAGAGTCAGTGTAATCTCTATCAAAATTCCAATAGCATTTTTCACAAAAATAGAAAAATCTATCCCAAAATTCGTATATGGAACCACAAAAGCTAGTCCTGACCAGCTAAAGCTATCTGGAGATAGAAGACAAAACTGGAGGCGCCATACTTTTGATTTCAAACTATATTACAAAGCTATAATAAAGCAGTATGGTACCGACGTAAAAACAGACACACAAACCAATAGAACAGAATAGACAGCTCGAAATAACCCCGTGTGTATAAGACCAACTAATCTTTGACAGTCCCTAGGGAAAGGACGGTCTCTTCAATAAGTCGTGTTGGGAAAACTGACAGCCACATGCAAAGAATGAAACTGGACCCTTGTCTTACCCCACACACACAAATTAGCTTGAATTAAAGACTTAAGTACAAGACATTGGGTTCTTAAGTATATAGTTCGACTGGAATAGTTATACCCGAAAGTACAAGTCATTCTTGACTCTAGAGCTTTGGTCTTAGTGTAGAGTAAAAAGTCGTTTTTCATTGCTGTGATGTATTTTTTCCCTGTTACCAATTCTTCTCACCTTTCCAATTCACATTCCTATTTCTCTAGAAGCTCTTGGAAAAAGTACCAGATAGCCTGGTCTTTCTGCAGTCTTCGGGGAAAAAAGCTGCCTCCATCTTCAGCTTGCTCCGGAAGCTCAAGCTGTTCACCAAAACTCTACCCTTTCGGCTGCTCCCAAGCCTGCGGTAAACTCCTGCAGATTGTAGGAAGGTGCTCACAGGCCACTTCTCTGTTTGCAGGTCATCCCCATGCTTCCCAGGCTGCTGTGCGAGGAGCTGTGCAGCCTCCATCCCTTGACCGACAAGCTGACCTTCTCTGTGATCTGGACGCTAACCCCTGAGGGCAAGGTAACAACTTACACCCATGACCGTTTCATTCAGTGAGTCCCCGTTAATCACTCACTGTGTGCCTGGGGCCAAGCTGGAGTCCCGTGGTGGGAGGATGAGGGCCACTGTAGGGGCAGCTACCACAGGGAAGAACAGAAAAGAGCCCCCTGCCTCTGAAGAGCTGTCAGTCCATTTAGAAGCTGTCAGACTGACCCTAAGCAATTAGAAACAAGTTTTTTGTTTCTTATCTTTTATCGGGTGAAGGGAGAAATTGTGTAAGCAAAGTCAAGTGGGGAGGCTTAGTGCAGGGGTATAAGATGGACATGAAGGCGAATGTGGCTTGGCAGTGGCAGGAGGAACATCCTGAAAGGACATCTAGGGAAAGGGTTGTGAGTTTGGGTAGGCGGGGTGGAATCAAACTGGAAGCAGCCTCAAATGCCAGTCACAAATGAATTCTGGGTGTTAGCGTTCCTCTGCAGTGTCCTGAGAGAGGTGACATTTTAGGAAGATTAGTGCCCCAGCATTGTGCAGGTGACCTGGTAGTTTGAAGATGAATTAAATTGGCACAAGATAATGCCATAATCAAGACCCACTGGATTAAGAACAGAAAGGAGAAGAATGTCAGCAGGCATTCCCTAAAGACAGGGCCTAAATAAGACAGATAAATGGAACATAACTCCAGGAAAAACTAGTCTCCTCCCCACAAGCAGAAACAACCCTAAACATGCAAAAAGAAGGCAACAGTGAAGTAAGATGCGGCATTCCGTAGAATGTGATGCAGTTACTAAAGCTGTGACAGAGACCATGTGAGAACATAGGAAATGTTTATGCTGTGATATTAAATGGAAGTAAAAAGAAGATATTGAATTATAAAGAGGTTCCAAATAAAGATGGAGGATCAAATACCCACATTTACTTTCATTCCCTCCCAAAACCTCACTAAAACAACAGCAAAGAGATTTTTTTTTAAAGACATAAACCCACAAGGACAAAGAGAATGGGAGAGCAGACAACAGCAACAAAACTTTGGAAGCTGGAAGCAGATGGATGAGTGGTAACTGACTTAGCAGTCCTGAGAAAGCTGAATCCTGAGCCAGCGATGGAGAAATCCAAGCAACAACCCAATTTTACATAGCAGAACCCTAAAGAAATTCAGAAATCGATGGCACCAGGTAACTCCACAAAGTGGGGGAGGGTGGGTGAAGAGGAAACTGACTGTATTGGTTGAAAATTTGTTTAGAAAGATCGCCCCTCCCATAAGTTGGAAGAACACCAGAAATTTATTCCATGGACTGGATAAAGTGAAGAATGTCTGAACTAGAGGACTCCGAACACAACTGATGGTCGCGGTCCCTTGGGACAGGTTGAGTGAGTGCCGGCATCCTGAGTGTTGAAAATCCCAGCTTTCTTTTCCAAACAAACCCAGAATTCTGGTTGCCAAGCCTTATACCCTCAAGTCAGGAGATGAGAAACTCTTTTTTTTGAGGAATCTGAGTGTGAAGTGATTTAAAGATCAGAACTTTGGGGACTTCCTCACCAATAGCCCAGCGGCGTCTCCCTGCAGGAAAGCCTAGAGGCAGGAAGCTCCACCAACACAAGCAGAGCTTTGAAGGATTTCACTAAAAATCAGCATTTTAGTATTTCACTTTCATGATTAAAGAGCCAACTGAGGGTTACCTGGCTGGCTCAGTCAGTGGAACATGTGATTCTTGATCTTGGGGGTCATAAGTTCAAGCCCCACATTGGGTGAAGAAATTACTTAAAAAAAGAGAAAGAGGGGGGCACCTGGGTGGCTCAGTTGATGAAGTGTCTGCCTTCGGCTCAGGTCATGATCCCAGGGTCTTGCCTCTGCCTTCAGCTCAGGTCATGATCCCAGGGTCTTGGGATCGAGCCCCGCATCGGGCTCCCGGCTCAGTGGGGAGTCTGCTCTCCCTCTGCCCCTCCCCCTCACTCGTGCTCTCTCTATCTCTCAATTAAATAAATAAAATGTAAAAAAAGAGAGAGACAAGACCAAAGCCTCTGCCAAGAAATAGAAAAACCAAACAAACAGGAAAAAGCAACTAAGGCAAAACAGACTATACAGGGAAAAGAAACTGTCATTTATATCCCATGAGAATTTTTTTTTAAGAAATTATATCATAAGATCTAGACACTTTACAAAAGAAATGGGGTTGGGGAACGGGAAGGAGGAGCCCATGAAAATTTAAAACATGATAGAAGAAATGAAGACTCAAGATAGAGTTGAGGAATTGTCCCAGAAAGATACAGAACAGATCAGAAAAGTAGAGAACTAGTCCAGGATATCCAGTATCTGCCCAGTGAACATTCCAGAAAGACAGGACATTTGAGATAGAGGGGGAAGAGGTGAGCAACAACATAATTCAAGGAAATGTCCCTTTACCGGAGGATGTGACTCTCCAGAGTGAAAGAACCCAGTGCCCCGGCACCGTGGTGGCTATGCATCGTCTCCAGGCCACACAACGTCGTAAAACTTCAGAGCACCGAGGACAAAGGAAAGATCCTCTCGGCTTCTAAGAAGGAAAAAAAAAAAGAAGATCACATACAGTATATCAGGACTCAGAATACCTTCAGACTATTTTTCTATTATAACCTTAGAAGCTAGATGGCAATGAAACAAAGCTTCCTGGTTCCCAAAAGACTGATTTCTGTGCTAAAATTCTGTACCCCGCTAAGCTCTCAATAAAATGTGTGGGTAGGAAAGGACATTTTCAGACATGCAAGGCCTAAAAAAAAAAAAATGTACCGCTCCTATATCCTTTCTGAGGAAGCTACCAGAAGATGTGCTTCACCAAAATGAAAGAGTAAATCAGGAAGGAGGAAGACCTAAGATTCAGGGAGCTAATAAACCAAGGAAAGCAGTGAAAGAATCACCTCAATCATAGATTGGGAAACTTTTTCTGTAAAGAATAGCACCTTTTTTTTTTAGCTTTTAGGCCATTTAGTCCCTGTCACAACTACTCAACTCTGCTGTTGTGGTACAAAAGCAGATAATACATAAATGAAAGAGCATGCCTGTGTACCAGTAAAACTTTACTTAAAAATAGGTGGCTGTCACTAGGTGATGGGCATTAAGGGGGCACGTGATGGAATGAGCATTGGGTGTTCTGTACAACTGATGAATCACTAAACTCTACCTCTGAAACTAATAGTACACTATATGTTCATTAAACTGAATTTAAATTTAAATTAAAAAGAGAAATAGGTTGCGGGCTGGGTTTGACCCATGGGCCATAATTGGCTGACACCTGTAGATGATGGTGAAGAAAGCCCGTAGGGCACCAGTCCTATGAAGGTATAGAAAATAGTCGATCCAGATTGCAGCAGGCCAGAAGGCTCTAGGAGAGATGTCTTTAAGAAAATGAAATGGTTAAAACGTCTATGTCTGAATTTCTTTTTTTTTTAAAGATTTTATTTATTTATTTGAGAGAGAGAGAGAATGAGAGATAGAAAGCACGAGAGGGAAGAGGGTCAGAGGGAGAAGCAGACTCCCCGCTGAGCAGGAAGCCCAATGCGGGAGTCGATCCCGGGACTCCAGGATCATCACCCGAGCTGAAGGCAGTCGCTTAACCAACTGAGCCACCCAGGCGCCCCTATGTGTCTGAATTTCTTGAGAAATGATTTAGACCAGCAGTTATAGAACTTTCTAGTCCCAGGACTTGTTACACTAAAAAAATCTTTGATGACCTCAAAGTGCTTTTGTTCATGTGAATTCACTGTTTATCCTATTACAAATTAAAACCAATAAAAACTTTAAGCATTTACTTATTTAAATTAAAGTAATAATAATAAGCCCAATCCATTATGTTAATATAAATAACACTCTATGAAAAATAATTACATATTCTAAAATTTAGGAGAAAAGCTTGTTTTATATTTTCGTAAATCTTTTTCACATCTGTACTAAAGACATTAAACCAGGTTATCATATATGCTTCTATATTCAATCTGCTAGGATAAGTTATTTTGTTTGAATTATGTATGTGAAGAAAATCCAGCTTCAGACAGATACTTCCTTGGGAAAGAAAGGTATATTTTAATCGCTTTTTCAGATAATTGTGGGTATTTGTCCTTGTACTACACCAGGACTTGGCAGTTTCTTACAAATTAGTTCCAGTCTAGAGTCTGAGACTGTATATGCTACAGACTAAATTCTGTACCCCCAAAATTCATTTGTTAAAGCTCTAATGCCCCCAGTGTGTATTTGGAGGTAGAGCCTATAGGGAGATACTTAAGGTTAAATGAGTTCATAAGGGTGGGGCCTTGATCTGACAGAATGAATGTCTTTATGAGAAGAGACCAGAGAGCTTGCTCTCTCTTCCTGCCATGTGAGGACACAGTGGGAAGGTGATCTTCCTGCGAGCCAGGAAGAGAGCCTCTCTCACCAGGAACCAAACTGGCCTTCCCAGCCTCTAGAACTGTGAGAAATCGGTGTCTGTTGTTTAAGCCCCCCTGACTGGGGTATGTTGTTAAGGCAGGCCCTAATAGACTAAGACAATATCAACTGAACTTTTTTTTTTTTTTACTGGGTTACAGTAAAATCTGTCTTTTACTTTAAACGGATCTTTTACCCATGCATGCAGTGATTTTTTTTTTTTTATCATGCACTTAGGAAGTTTACATCATTTAGAAAATATTGGCTCATCATGCTGATCTTCTAAATGTAAACATTTTTCATTATATGATATCAAAAAATCACATTGGTAAATATCACTGCTGATCTTAGACAAGTCTTTAAGTATAAGGAAACACGTGTCATGTGTCAGATACAAGGTTTCCAAAATTCTGATTTTTGTGAAAGCTCAAATTTATCATGGGCAATAAATAATGTCAGTTGTTTTCCTCGAAGTGCCAAAGTAAAGATAGTGTTCTATAAAAAAAAAAAAAAAAAAAAAGCAGTTTAGCTTACAGCTCAAAGTTACATAAATGCTTTTCCTCAAGACAATCATCATACTTCAGCAAGCAGCATAAGTGAAGAAGACAAGGACTCAAGGATTGAGACA